TGTTTCAATTCAATTCACTCTTCCGGTGGTTTTTTCTCTAGAGTTGAAAAATGACTGCTCTTCCCAGCAAAAATAATTCTGTGAAGATCCAAAGCCATTTAACGTCACGGAATATTGCTATTATTTTGCGGCGTGCTTAGAAGAGACAGGTATTTCACAAACTAAACAGAAATACAAGGGTCCAAAGCTGAAGACCTTGCAAAATTCGGAAAAAAAAAGTAAAGAAAAGTTTGGGCAGGATTAGTAACAAAGGGACTACGACAACAAATAATATCTCAATACAGTCTGTTAGAGCTTCAGGAATTTATTAAATCAGTACAGGGATATGATGAAATATATTAAATGCTGAAAGAATTATATAATCAGCAGACAAGTTCACTTGGAGATTACCAGGAGATGACAGTAATCAGAATACCTAATAACACAGTATACGTAACCAGAAGCATAAAACAGCCAGTGCTCCACATTACCATAAAAGGATTGACCTTTATAATAAAAAATAAATATAATAGAAAAGGAATACAGGGAAAGCTGAATTCTAGTTTTTAACCACGTTCTTTACAATACATATAATCTTTGCTCACATAAGTGAATGTTCGTTCTCTCTTCCAGTGAGAACAGTGTTACAAGGTTTTATAACAGCAGGGAGTTGCTAAACCAGAAGCAAAGCTAAAACCATCCACTGGTATTTATTTTCTCTGCGTGCTTGCTGCTACAAGACGTTGAGTTTTAGAGGATGTCTCACCAGCTACACATTTGTGACTTGTGCATAAACTAATGGATTTGGCCTTTTTATTTCTTCTTGAACAGTAAAAATAGTTTTGCACCCATTTTTCAGTCTTGCTCATATTGGCGACGATCAGCAGAGCATCTTTCGTGCTTAGCAAAAATCAAAACGTGTGACCAATGCTCCCAGAGTTTATCATGTGCTCCCACACTTTGAGGCATACAACCATCTTATCACAAAGAGAACAGGGTAAGAATCAGCAGAGTGAAAACAAAGCATGCACTTTCTTCTCTGACACAAGAACACAAAAAACCGAACACCTTTCACACCGTAGTCATCGCAAGGAGATGTGTAAAGAATATTACCAATAGCGAGGCTGCTTTCAATTGACACAAAACAGTACAAGCAGATTTTCAGTTCATTTATAGGAATATCATGGTAATGTTTACTTACCCACGGGTTGGAAATCTACGTGACAATGCCTGCGTCACCACTGGTGAGACGCTCTGGGAGCCCTATGGAAATGTGCACCCATGCAGCTGAGGAGCACAGGCCAGGAGGAAGGGAACTTTGTAGCCTTTTGCAAGGAAAAAAACAGTCTTTGTGCTGCACACTACCAAAAGAGATCCCCCAGAGAGCTGAGCAATGCAAATGCAGAAATCCTGACAAAAATGACTGTTCTCATTTAAAGTACTAAGCAATATAGATCGTCTCCGTATTCTTAGAAATTGCATAAAGCTTGGCCATCCTGACCACAATTCTAAAATGTATGTTTTTTTAAGACACAATGTCCCTTGAACACATACGTAACTTTCATTTAATTAACAGCAGTTGCACATGCATATGTCAGAAGTGTACATTTGTCGTTATACCTACAACATTTTAAAACATACACGCCACATTAATATGTTTGCATTTATCTCTACTATCCACATGAAGAAACAGACACTGCAAAGCAAGGCCAGCAAGGATACTAAAGGACTAGGCATTCATGTCTGGGAATGCACAGAAGCATACAGAACATGAACTAGATAACATCCAAAAGAGGACAGGGGAAAGTGAGAAAGCGATGGGGAATAACAAAGCAGTCAAGGTGGTGAATATGCTGAATGCTTAACTCCTGCTCACAAAGTGCTGCCTGTAAGGCACTTGTAAGGATGACCAAAGACTCTGGCAAGAGGTGGGTTACAGGAAATATCAAAACAAGGCATGCTGAGGTGACCTCTGCAAGTGATTGCCACCAGAGTTTGAGGGAGAAGGCATACAGCAGGCCCAAAAGGACACGCAAGCTCACGGATAACAGATGTCTAATAGGACAGTAAAAGGATTGGGCAGGTACGTATCCTCCAGCAACTCTGGGTTCTTCTGTTTATGGCAAATAACAAATGGCTTTGCTCATCTACTTTCCTTAGAGAACGCAAGCTAAGCCAGATGGATTATTTATCTGTACACCAGGGCAGCGCCACAGATGGTTGTTCATATCTTCAGGAGCTTCTAACTTTACTGGGGAAGGTGCCCAGCCTTCCCTGGGAAGCCAAGCCTGTGTACCTTTCACTCTTGTAAAACAAGTTATGAAAAAGCAACTAAAACAATTCTCAACCCAGGGCAGGGATTGAAACTAACTTTTCATATACTCTTCACCAAATTACAACAAGTTTTCAAGACAAAGTGCAGTGATATCTTCCCTTACTTCATTACCAACTTGTAAGAACAAAGTCAAACTCAAACTCTGCTTCAAGAGTGAAATTTTTCTGTTACTCAATGATAATGTTCTCAAAGAACAGAGCAATTTCAAAGGCAAAATTCCCAGTCGATGATGATGGAAATGGAATTCCTAGAGTGACTGAACTCACAAATGCAAAGAAAACCCTAGAAAGCATGCACCAGGATCCCATACAATCACTGCTAAGCTCTGCATCACCCATATACTTATTTTTCACAACTGGAAAATACTTATCCCTGTTACTGAAATTATTTTATATAGTACAGAAGTAAACTCATGGGAAAAGCTCAACACTAGTGACCCTAATAGGATCAGTATATCATCACCAGATGTCTCCGTATACATACATTTGTAATTTCCTACATGTAAAGTAATGATTTTGTATTTTCTTACACTTTCTAAGTAGTTCCTTAAAAAAAAAAAATTGAAGCCTTTAAGAAGCTAAATACTTTCATATATGAATCTCGGTCTTGCCTTTTCCTAGCCCACAGATTAACACCTTAGACTTCTGTCACATCTTAGATTTCTGTCATAATATTTCCATTCTGGAGACATACAACTTCATTAATTTCTATATAATTAGGATCTGTTCCAATATTAAATAAGACAATCAAAAAGCTACTCATATGAGAAGACAACTCAGAGCCAAGGCTTCAGGGCTTGGCTCTATTTCAAGTCTTAAAAAAGATGTCTGAAGGAAAAAAAAAAAAACTAAGATGCTCAAAATAAAGACAAAATGCTTTGGCTTTGCCTCCTGCAGAGCACTCTTCTTATGAAGAAGCACTTAGAAATGTTTCTTACCCTCTTCCTTTAGATATATGCTTATCGTTTGATTCATATTCCTCACTATTGCTGCTTGCAGACTCAGCAAAATTGGAATATATGCAGAATCTTTAACACAACATTTTCTTGTCAACTAAGTGTATGAAAACACTTGTGTTAATTTCCACCAGTACTTTTAGTTTCATATAAACCCAAATGAAACACCAAACCTGTAGAACACGAAGAATGACCCAGGCTGAAAGGGAGCACTGGAGTCATCCTGTCCAACTGGGTGCTCACAGCAGAGCCCTCTGTGCAGTGGCATCAGATGCTCAATGTCCCCTTCAGCTAAATATTACAAATCCCTAGCAAAGGAAGCTCCCTAGTATCTCTAGTGAATCTGTTCCAACGGCTGGCCAGTATCATTTTGAAGAAGTACTTTCATAATAAGTAATGACAATTTTGTGCCCACTGCCTCTTATATTTTCTCTCTGCACCTTCACAGACTCCAATCCTGTTTTCTCTGTAAGCAGCCATCATGGATTTTTAAGTTGAAGGGAGATCTCACCTTGCCCTCCTCTGAGAAACAGTGCACTCAGCACTTCCCTGCATGCCATGAGCTCCAGCCCCCGACCACCTTGGTAAACCTTTACTGCACTGAGTTCAGATTGCAAACCTCTGTCCTTACCTAGGGAGCCCAGATTTAAAGGCAGGTCTCTAGATACACCACACAAGTCTGAAAACAGTAGGAAAACCCCCTTCCACCTGCTACCTGTCCTCTTGCTAAGCAGCCTGCTATGTCATTAATACTCATCACAACAATGGTACAACGATGAGCGATACCTCACTTGTCCAAAGAATTCCCATGTCATCACTTAAAATCATTAGTGATAATATCTTTATTTTTTAAATAAAAAAAGAATAACATTCAAAACAGGCAAAAGATACAAAAAACTTGGGTTGGTTTTTTTTTTTTTTTTACTTCCATATAAATTCACAGCTTATTATTTGCTTTCAGTCACATGCAATGGTTTCTGCAAGCTGTTTTTTTACACAGATGATACACCAGATCACTAGCCCTGCTAAGGACAGATCTCAGCTCCCTAGAGGAAATAACCCATGCTCTCTAAAGATCACCAGTTGAAAGGTGAAGCACTGACCTATTCAACCTATCAGTCCTCAGGCTATCAATGTGCTACACTGCAGCAGCAGAGTAAATAGAAAATCACCTTTTCTTTTCAAAAAGCAGTTCTTCAAAATCGAAGTCATTTACTCAAGCCCGCTCAAGCTTTCTAGTATACTGAAGTTAAATTATTTGCTGTCTTTCTTAAAAATATCCCTGCAACTCCTCTGCTAAATGCTAATGAAATGTTTAACATTAACCCTAGTTACACTAGAATATTGTTGGCAACACTGCATTCTGAAAATAAAAAATCACTGTTTAAAAACTTACTCTCCTTTACACAAACACATGCATTAAATTTTTTTTCCAGAATCTCATAAAAATGTCATGATACAGCCATATCATTTTAACAGACTGTTTCATTAAACGCCAGTGAAACACAAAAACATCATTGTGTAGCTTATAGTCCTTTAGCAGTAAAAGAAAAATAAAATCTTGACAACTTCCAACGAAATCAGTAAATACAGGAAGACTGGTATTAAAGCCTAACCCAAGATCCACTGATGGAGTTCACGGGAGACTTTCCACTACATTCCATATGTTTTGGGATGATGATTAACCAAGATAAATGTTAAACAGTGAAAGAAAGAGACATCAAAACTTACCCATGAACTCAATTCCTAAATGGTCTGCTGTACCCAAGAAAGCATGTAAAGAGAAGAAAGGGAAATGTTAGACTGAAAAGTAAATACCCTCTCTGTCACAATCTGTACCATTTGATATTTTACGGCAGTGCTGCAGAACCCAATATCAGTTCAGGGACCCACTCTATGAGTATCAGTCAAACAGGAGCAATCCTAAGACAGAACTCTAGTGTGCGGACCTGCTACACAAGGTAAGTGTGTCTGGGGAGGGGAAGGATGCAAACATTCACTCTCATTATTACTGTACTTACTGAACTGTCTCAAACCAGCTGATTACAGAAATTCATTCTCTCCTGCTCCTGAAAATTCTCTCTCAATATCTGACTAAAGACGCTAGTGTCAAGTTCTTGCTTTCAGTTTCTCTTAAGAAGAAAAACTAAACAAAGAAATGAAAGGCTTTCACTGAGTTTTGCAGCTCTCATTACAGCACAGCGGCCACACTTCCATCCAACGAGATAGCACTGCTACAGTCTGTTCCATAACAGAGATCTGACTTCAGGAGGTAGCAGATATGTCACCCATTTGGCCATCTGACTGGTACACAGCAGTAATTTCAAGTAACTTACTACAAGCAAATCTTCAGTTTATTTTGGGCATGGACTGAATTTACCATATGGAGCTCAGACCACCTCAGGACCTCTTTTCAAGTGATTAATTACAGTATGATTCTGTTGCCTAAAAATATTACAGGGCAAAGTAGATTTCAATTTATTAAGTTGGTAGGGAGTGTGTTTAAATTGCTATTTGGTTAAAGAATAACACAAGTCATTTTGCAGGGACAGGGTCATGGAAAAAATTAAAACCGTCTCTCCAGTGGGTCCAAGTCCAAAATGATACTGCAGAAAACCAGACACTCCGAAAGGGTGCTAAGCACAATTCCATTCTGTGCTAAACTTGAAACATATTTCTTTCCTAGGGGAGGTCATCATTTGAATTATAAGAAAACAAAAGATTTTCTTTTTCCTGAGGGAAATGTGATGTTTTCCTTTAAAACGTATTAAAAGCAAAATATATTAATTATTTTTCGTCTTCCTTTGAATTTACAGTCACATTTTCTTAAGAAAGAGAAAGTTAATATATTCTTTTTCCTAGGCAAGGTCGAGCCAGGCTATGATCTCTTAGGAAGTACATAAAGCTGCACAAAACACTTAGACTTTAACCCATCCAACAATTACTTTCAAAAAGTCACTTAAGAACTAAACAGTGAAGCCACAAGAAGATTCTCCAACGTAAACACAACAGTAAAACCGAACACTACAATTGGACTTGTCAGATCTGGCACCTAAGATAAGAATGTGAGATACTGCAGTTTCTTCTGAAAGCACTGCGAGTCATTTGCCTTTTGTAACCTTCCAATCCTTTCAGGAAAAGGCACTGGACATGAGTTTGACTGATTCACTTCACACACAAATTTATAACACAATTGCTAACCTCTATATGTATCTACGTGGAAAAAAAACAAAATGCATCTCAAAAGAAAAGAATGTAAGGTAACGCTATGTGGTATCAACATCTTGCCAGCTTGGAGTCAGAAAAGATGCCTTACCCAAGTCTAGCAACACCAAATGAGTCGTCTTTTACTGGTACTGAGGACATGTAAATATGTATTATGTAAATATAATATTAACATTAAATTCAAGCCTACATATACGCATTATAAATGTGTATCCTTATAAGTAAAGTTAAAATCGTACATACATTCCACATGACTGTGTTCCCATCCATACTCTTGCATTCACACACCAACAATGGACGCTAATATCCCAAATACAACTGATGCAGAAATGCAACTTCTTGAAGAACATAAGATCAGAAATACCAGAGAAGCACCCTCAATGTGCTATAGTTGCAGAGATCTGCACCTTGCTTTTCTTCCTCTCGTTTCCTCTACCTATAAAATCCAAAAATATTATCTGCCTACAAGATTTCACATTCTTGCATCTTTTGGTAAGATAACTGCTTATGTTTAAAAAATGATAACGGAGATCAGAACACCATAATCCAGTCTCCAGGAACCTAAAGATATCTATACATGAAAATCAAGCTGTATTATCTTTTTATATCTATGTAGAATACCTGATAAAACTCTTCTTTCCCAACTGGACTACACATGTGCCCTACACAGCAGTTTTCAATTTGCAGCCTGCAGTCTCCTTCGTGGAGATCACCAACACAGTTAAAAGGCAGTAATCTCAAAAAATGTATATAAAATACACCTTCCTTTTAAAAATTATAGAAAGGATTTTACTTCTGGAGTGGTTTACATGTAGGGAGAAACAAGCCTAATCCATAGGCTTCTTTAAAACAGTGGGAGAGAGGAGGACATTTGTCAAGCTATTTTAAGTATCTCATTGCCTGGAAAGCAACTTGAACAACCAACGTAACCTATATTGCAGATATGCAACAGATAAAGTTGATACACAGAGATGATGATGAAAGGATTTCTAATGGTACAGGTCCTTACAGCAGAATATCTAAGCTGTCCACTTAATAAGCTCAGCTCTGTAAGTAGAATCCTGGAAACAGAGATCAAATTACTAATTTCTGTGCAATCAGTGCTGTTGTGTGCTCGTTGTCACCCAGGATGACACCCTGGGTGCCTCTGCACCCAAATCCATCATCAGAAGGTTATGCATGGTGTGCAGTTGGGGCCAGTGCATGTCACACTGACTGCAAGTGTTCAAGCACCACCGGTAAGAGTAGTGCCCCACATTTCCAATACAACACAAGCACTACCCAAATGCATCTGTATACTCACATGGTTTTTGTTTTGGCTTGTTTGTTTTTTTCTTTTTCTCTTTCTTTTTTTGTTAACAGTCTGTTTATATCATCCTATAATTCCAAGGGCCGTTTTCAGAAGGACTTCTCCCCTTCTGTCGGGGGTAAGACCCTCTCAGCAGACAGGTGTAAGAGATGGGCAGAGCCCACGCAGCCAGGCAGCAGGGGCAGAAAGCAGGCTGCGGTGCTGACCTAAGGCAAAGCTGAGCACTAAAATGCAGAATCCCACCCCCCAATGTGGGGCTATGGAGTAGAAGACTGCTGCACTCCTAGACAGCCAGAACATGTGTGTGATTAACTGCATCCAAACACTTCCTTAGAGACAGAAAGGAGAGTGTCAAGCCATTCACCATCAGGCAATGCAGTTTCTTCAAGGACTCGGTACAACAAAAAAGGGTATGATTGATATTGATGTGTTAGTGTACTGGAATGTGGGCTCTGCTCCGCAGACGGGCTCATTAACCAAACAATGTGACTGTATTTTATTATTGTGATTTCTTTCCTTTCTTGTATTGTTAGGCTCTGAGGAAGTAATAGACAGGAAGACTATTACCTTTTATACTTAAGAATATATCTTCATTTTGTTGTTGATGTGGGAAAACTACTGAGTCTTACGGTCCTTGTACTTACTGAATTTCTTGTTAATACTAAAGCCATTCCAATTTATACTTTATAAATACATCTACACGTGGGAATCCTTGATAACAAGCACAAGAGAAGATGAACTTGTACCTGCTAACAGATCAATTTATTAAAGCTTCACATGTAACGTGCAGCCTTGGGTCTGGATGATGTTTAGCCAAGCTTTTTTCTTGGCCATTTTAATGTGGAGCTACTTCTCCTGGTCCAAGAATGGTTTCACTATTTCACGTGCATTCTAACTTACATTCAGAAAAACCGAACACCTAAAAGTCTCTGATCCATAAGAGAATAATATTCAATACTAAAACATACACTGCAGACCATTATAGACATTTAAATCTGCTCTACAAATAGGCTGACTTCAAAACGAATCAGTGCGAAGTACTTTCCCCTGCAAATGAAGTTCACTGTTTCCAATAAACTCCTAAGGTTTGCCCAACTGTCCTTGGTAGTTTATCATCTTGAACAAAAAAATGCAACACAAGAATACACTGCAAACTACATTAGACAGCTCAAGTATTCTTAATTCAGATTATTTGGTTAAAGGGAACAAGACAGAGTTTAAGATCAATCACACTGTCTGAAGAACAAATGCTAATTTCCCCAACAATAGCTGGGCAGTTCACTACACATTAGCTGATATAATAGTAAATTTACAGAATACACCAGCCATTTGTTCCAACTGCATCAAGACACAATGGTGAAAATTCAACATATACACACCCCTTAAAAAAAGGAAATAATTTATATAAAGCTTCACAGACTGGTACTTTCTCAGCGTGAACAAGGATAAAATATAGATATTCTGAGTTTGTACCGATAGGGTTAATTGCATTTTAAGCCAAATTAAAATCTTCAGTCCATAAAACTGAATACTGAAGATGATATCCAGAGGTTAATTGCTTTCTCCTCTTGTCTTTTTTTTCCTTTTCAAAAGGAAAAAAGAGCAAGGAAGGAAAAAAAATTTCTTTTAAATATCTGTCCGACTCTGCAGAGATTAGAGCACTCTCCAGACAGAAACTCCCACCCACTATCAATTCCATAACAAAGGAGCATTTGAAAAACATCCAGCAAAACCTGTTCTTATATAAATAATACACAGGGCTGAATAATTGAATAAACTATTGATTTACTCTCCCTGTGAATGACAGACAAATGCTCCTGGCTGTTTTACATCATGAAGGTTGAAAGGCTTTTTCTGACTTCTGAAAAAAAAATATCAGCAAAGGATCCATCTTCACAGGTTGAAGACTAGTTAGAAGCTTGAACTGCTTACCTCACCTGCAAAATGCAGCTTTACAGAGGATTATACTGCCTGTTCTCTGCCATTTTAAAGACATCAAACTGTCGTCTCTACAGCTAACAGAAAAAGTTACTTCTCTTTAACACACAACGCTGGATTTTAGTGAACAACTTTAGTCTCATTGATTAATGTCGACAATCTGCACTGACACGTATAGTTTGTAAATCAGTACAGCTTTTAATCCTAGAATTCTTTTCACTATAGCTATAAATGCACCGTCCTTTATTTTAGGTTTATGAATAATCTATTGAAACCACTTCATTAA